GTACAAATGAAAGATTTGTAATAATGCGGCTTCTTCTGTTGTGCATGCCCCTGCCGCCAGGCGGCGGTACTCTAAACATAGTACAAATATACGTGAGACGGTCACAACTGAGGATGCTTCAGAAATGTCAGTCGTTTTTTGCAGAGGATAAAGAATATAGGGCACTTTTACGTCTTTTCGTGATAAGTGGCCAAATTATCAGGCCTGATGTTGGTCGGTTGTGATTTCCCTTGGCCAAAGTGTAGAAAGTCTCCCTCTTCAAACAACCCTGCCGCCGGTGCAATGATTAACAACTGTTGCCATGGCGACAAAAGCCACCACGCCCTGTGGACAAGGGAGTTTTGTCCTCCAGATCGCAAAAGAAACACAGCATGCAGTTGGGCCAGCTTTGGAGCAGGTTCCTGTTTGTGACAATTACATTATGCATGACCACATCCCAATCGCGTAACTGAAGAAGTCAGGGGGAACATCTTTCAGCCCGGTAATCGAGCCCAGGCCACAGAAACTTCGCAGCCAGTGGTGCCAACTTTGCTACTTTTCCCATCTCTGTAGTGATCATTTTTTTTAAAAGATAGACCTGACAATTATATGCCCGCCAAGAAACAGTAAAAACGAATGGAATCATTTCATTTTTTGTTTTCCATTGCAATGACTCAGTTACTGGTTTAGAAATATCTCAAAATGCTTCTGTAAAGAGTGAAACAATAACGTGGTAATCGATTAGTAATCAATTAATCACGTAATTGTTGCACCTCTAATGATAAATAAATTCACCTGATCCCAAGTCCAATGTGCTCCACCATATTAGCCAGGGACACATCCCTTGCTTGAAAAGGTTTCCTCTTCTCCTTGAACTCATGGGCCAAACAGATACGCCAGCCGGCCGTGGGCACCCCATGTCCCATCTCCTTGGGCAGGTACCTGCTCATGAGCTCCGCGGTGGATCTCTCCCCCCAGTCTTCAGTCATTTTGGTACTTGCTGTTATTGTTGTGAGTTCGAGCAGTGAGCGGAGTGTGACTACAAAACGAAGCTGTCACCACCCTTTGTCAACACGATGTGTTTATCATGGAATTGGCGTGATCACTCTGACACACCAACCGGTTTCCACTCGTTTCTGGGCGAGGGGACGAAAAGCTGATAATGAAGCCTTTATGTTGGAGTGCCCAGCGCCATTATAGGGATATTAAAATCCACATGAGCGGCCGGGCTTCTTTGTGCAGCCTCGATGCCAGATCTTCGCTTGCGGGATGGGGGAACTCGACACGTATCGATGACCCCTGGAATGGTGTGAAAAGCGCCATTACAATTCTTGTGTGGGTCTGCATTGACTAGGACTAGAATAAAAGCAGCCATTAATTGGCACGGAAGAGCAGCAACCCGGAGTTTATTTTTCCCCATCAACAATGTGCACAATACAAATGGAAAGCGCACGTACCTTGAAGTAGAACAGAGAGCGTTCAGAGCAGAGGATAACTCGATTAATAAGTGAGCAGGAAGCTACAACCGTGTCTGACAACAATCAAGAAGCCCAGACCACCAACTGACGACTAAACCATATTTGAGTACAACTGCGGGGCGGAAGCGGTTTTAGCCATACTGGTTATCATAGTCTGTCAGCGACTGGTATTATCACAAGCATGGACATATACGTTACAAACACTTTCTTCCACCAATCAAGTGTGAATAAGCTTTTCATGACGCGAGGGTAAAAATGATCAAATACATAATATGCCCACACCCCTAAAGTCAAGATAGCAACAAGCCGCCTGTAACGTGTATTGGCTGTGCCACGTGATCTTTTTTTTTTTTTTTTTTTTTTTGGATGGCCAACCAAAAAGCGGCGCTGTAATTTTATCCATGTTTTTGTTCCCCAAATTGTAAAACGTGGAATTGGGTTACTGGCGCAACGTCTGATAAAGTCGGACTTTTAACAAGTAATTCAACATATTGTGTTTTTGTACTTTCATCCATTGAAAGTTTGTTTTTCCTTGGTTCGATTTTGGTCGTCCTTACGGACACACTTTGTTTACCTACTGCTACTAGATAATTATGCTAGGTGCGGATGAAAAATCTATGACAATGTATTAAAACAGCATTCCGTTTGCTTTGTAACTCGGACAAGAAAAGAACCGATACTGTCTGGACGCAGACTTCCTGGGAACAAGGTATGTGTTCAAATTACGAGGCCAAAACATTAGCTTAATTTAGCTTGGTTTAGCATACGTCCGTGCAGTCGCTACATTGTACTCTGCAGATTATATTATTCGGTTTATAAATTGTCGTGTTCCCACATGCAGATGATCGAAGTGGTGGCTTCCATGGCTCGGGGTCCTGTGTTTCTGGCCGGGGAGCTAATGGAGTGTCTCATCACTTTCAGGAACCCCATGTCCCACGTTTCTACCTCCGCGAGCAGGTAAAGCAGGGGCATTAGTAGCATGCAGTGGCCTAAAAAGTATCACAAGCACGGAGCTACAGTACATTTACAACCTAAATTCTCATCATGTGTGTGTTGCCATGTCACTCTAATCTGCACAGAGCCTCCAAAGTCAGTTGTGCTAGCCCATGTAACTTAAACTTTATTAGTACTGGGACTGTCTATTTTACACACTAAAAGGTATGACGGTGCACATACAAAGTACACGGCCCGCCTCTAATTTTCAAATTGGTTTTATTGGTCTGTGCCCCAGTGAGATTTTGGCGTGGGCCAGCGCCCAGATCCACTGCCAGTTTCACGCCAGTGAGAGCCGAGTTAGTCTGCCAAGCCGGGACAACAAGCAGGATGTCCAGGCTGACAGCGACACCGTCCTCATTCCAAACAGAGGTCAGTTAGTGACAAGGCAAAAGGCATCGTATGGTTTCCTGTGTATGCTGAAATCTTACTTGACATCTTTCCGTCTTCACCAGGAGAGCGAGGCCAGTGTGTTCTGGACACACCACCCAAAATCCTGTTCTGCGACCTGTGTCTGGATCCAGGAGAGAGCAAAACCTGTGTGTCAACGTGCGATTGAAAATGGCAACACTGTCACAAATTTTTTAAATGATGTGCTGTTCTTTTGTATCGCAGATTCGTACGGCGAGATCGTACCCGTTGACGGTCCTCCCAGTTTCCGCGGCCAGGCCGTGAAGTATGTCTACAAATTAACCATCGGGTGTCAGAGGGTCAACTCACCCATCAAACTGCTTAGAGTTCCCTTTCGAGTTCTGGTTCTCCAAGGTGAGACCCTTTTTTTCCCATGTTTGAAAAGTGGATGGCAGGCCACAAATGGCCCCCGGGCTGTAGCTTGGACACGCATGATTTAGTGTATGTAAGCTTCTGGTTTGAACTGTATATTCGCTATTACTGCAGGTAGCTTAGTAGGGGACCTTCTCTTCCTCTTCTTGCTCTGAATGAACATATTCAAATATTGTACCTTCGGGTAACTGCTGTTGATGCTGTGATCATCTCTCCAGGCATGCCAGAAGCCTCATTCACGCAGGATGAGGAAGTGTCGCCCTCAAACCCGTTCCTGGAGGAGGAGGAGGAGGCGAGCCGGAGGGATGCGCGACCTTTGGAGAGAGCGCTGGACATGCTTATGGTCTCCACGTCCAGACGCTGCCCTCGTGAGTTGTGCTGGTTGTTGTCCGGATGAAGTCATGCGTGTTCACGTCGAAATTTGACCTCCTCCAGACATGTTCAACATCACGAACGTGCGGGGGAAAGTGGCAAAGTTCTGCATCTTCAAGACTATGTACAGACTCGGAGAGGACATCATCGGCACGTTCAATTTCTCCGAGGGAGACATTCCGTGCTTGCAGGTACGTAAAAAGATTGGTGGTGTAAATATGGAGGACAGTGGAGGCCCGAATCATTAAACGCCCGTGGACAACTGAGAGACTGAATTTCTTTCGGAAATAAACAAACTTTGAAATTCATCAGGGGGATCAAATAATTGTTTGTGGCACTGTCACAGAACAATCTGTTTGTTTCAGTTTTTTTTTTTTTTTTTTTTTGCAAGTATTCGGTGAGCCTCCAGAGCGAAGAGGAGATTCAGCAGGAGTACCAGCGTCGTCCCGGTCAGCCTCTCAGTGTGGCGGGACACGGACGGCATCTGGAATCGTGCCTGCACACGGCGTCCAGCCATTTCTCCCTCCCCGTCCCCCTCAACGTCACGCCAGGCTTCGCCACAAATGTCGGTCAGTGGACAACATCAATGCGCGTTTCCTTTGTTCTTACTATTTTTCAACTGGCAGTCAAAAATCAAAGATGGAAAAAATGGCCGATTACTTTGTTTTCTCTGTTTTAGCGAACTTACAAATGAATTTTTGGACAATTCATTTTTGGCGAAGATCACAAACATTTGTTTTGAGGAAGCTTTTCAAATGACTTCAACATGTTTCCTTGACACCAAAATGCTACAAGATGGCGGCAAAGCTCTTTGTTTTTTGTTTTTCAACTGCCAATTGAAAACGGAAAGAACATCCAGACTGCCATTATGTTCCCACTTAACAAAAGGCAACATTCCAGTGACCTTGAGGTGGCGCCTGCACTTTGAATTCGTCACTGCTCGGGAGCCCGCCGAGCCACCCGTCGTCCGCCAGAACGAATCGAAGGCGACAGTGTGGGCCGGCGCCGAGCACGTCGAAGTAGACACGTTCAGTTGGGACCTGCCCATCAAGATCCTGCCCACCAACCCAGCCTTGGCATCCTACGAGTCCCAGTTCACGGGGACCAACAGCATCAACATTTGACCATGAAGGGAACCGAGATGTGGAAAACATGCCCCTCAAAGTTTCAACACGCGCCATTTGGTGTCAGATGAACTCTTTTAATTCAGCTTTTTTTAATTGTTGAAATTCCAGATATGTACATTTTACGTGAAGACATCCAAATTAAAAATGGGATGGAAATTGTACATGGCTTCAAATCCCTGTATTTTGGAACACAATACATTTCTTGACATTTTGGCTTGGTGGCCACACACTGGCTACTTTTTATTTTTGACAAATGATACTTTTTTTTGTTCATCGATCTCTGTCAGCAAAATAATGGCAGGTACACTCAAGCTGTATGGAAAAAAAACAATGGAAATTATATTTAGCTGTTCTGTACCCGCCCCCTTCAAAAAAAATCTTTTTGGGGGTGTATTGCGTTTTCAATAAGGAATATAGCACTCTCTAATATTGTACTTGGAAAAAAATTGCACTCTTCTCCAAATAGAAGGTTCAGCATGCTTGCTTGAAGTGTTTACTTGGAAAAAAAATATTGTAATTCTGACGCATAAAACAAAAGACAATGAATATATATATACACATTAATAAAAATGTTGAACCAAAGCATAACTTTTGGTTTCACTTTAACGCCGACGTGTCAAGCCCGCAAGCTGGTTGTGTATCTGAAGCGACCCGTGGCTGGGGTCCGTCATGCGCTCCCCTGGAACGCAAGGCAGGCGCGTGTCCGCAGTGAGGACAAGGGATGCCTTGCAGCTCACCGGCTCCACTCGCACCTCGCACCAAGCGGGGAAATCCACCGGCTGTTGTACCCTGGAGAGCATTTATTTATTTTAAATGATGGGTTCAAGAAGACTAACGCCCAAAAAACCCTTTTCGAGCCATTTGGTACCCACATTTCACAGCATCCGACGCCGGCCGGCTGCAGACAGGTGCACTGCATGCAGGTGTCATCCAGCCAAGTATCGCCCAGCGCGTAGTGGCGCCCCTCAAACACACACAGCGCTGAGAAGAAGACAGCAGTGAAATCCCCAATAAGAGACATTCATCCAAAGCAGGGATTCTCACACCGAGGTATGCAGCCGAAAGAATCACTGGATTTACTACAAATAAATGTCAATTTCCCATTTAAAACACGAAATGTAATCAAAGCGAGCGAATCCAACTTGAGTGCATGAAGACTGTTTAAAAATGGGTTTGAATCCAACAGTACCTTTAACATTTAATCCCAAAACGTAAAAATACGTTTACAAAAAAATGCTCACTTAGAATTGCTCTAAAGTCAGTTTTGTTTAATTTTTTTTTCCTTCAGTGTAGGAGTATCACCTCTGGAGTTGAAGTGGCACAGCATTGGGGCCGCCGCGCCGCCGCTGGTCCAGAGCAGAAGAAACGCCGCGACTCGGAGTACCCACTTCAATGTGTTAAGCTCCATCGCACTGCACTTTTGCCTCCTCCATTTCCTCCCATTTATACGTTCAGATGTGGTGTTGACCAGGGTGAGGGGGTGTGGCTACACACCTCACTGGCGGCCATGGCAGCGAGTGGGGGAAAAAATGAAGGAAGAAAGGCAATGGAGAGGCCTGGGAATGCTTTAGGCAACACAAGGTAAGCAGCTTTATTTATGCAGTGCATTTCATACACAAGATGATTCACATAATAAAAACAAACAAACATTTAAAATGATTTACATACACAGTAAGATTAAAAAGTAGCTTATGAAAATCACTAACATTGTCAAGTACAACATTTTTTTGAAAGCAGTTGTTTTACAAATTTTAATTTAAATTTTTTTTTATTAAATTTAATTTAATTTAAAAACATTTACACTTTGGGATGACTTAACTTGTGTTCATCTTATTTTATTTGTGTGCAGCATAACAGCTAAATGCTTCTGAACCATGTTTGTTTTGAACTCTGCATTCAACTAATTGACCCGAGTCTGCGAGCCCTATACTTGGTTTATATTCAGCCGAAGCCCTACAAATTGCCACACTAATGAAAACACCAAATTCATAGAGCAGGCATTTCTGCAGAGACAGGGAAAATCTTCCCCAGGGTGCTGCACTGGAACTCATCATCCATGGAACTTTGACTCAGCATAATAATCTTCGCCTCATTTTGGCTCTCTGAGCTCCTCTGCCCCAACGCAACTACCCGGTGCTTCAGGTCTGCGGACCAGACACAATTAGAGGTACTGAGAACTAAGCGGCGGCTCATAGGGGATCGAGCCTTCTCCGTTGCCAGTCCCTCTCTTTGGAATGAACGTTCGGCAAGCGCCCTCGCTTATTCATTGGCTTTTGACTCAGCATGAGACTTGATTTTTAGTTTTATTATAAAGCGCAGATTTCACGCTGACAGTGAGAGCTCTTTGGATGGCAAGTGTTCCTCCATAAGTTCCGCCAGAGCTGGTCTGACCCCCACGAAGATGAGATCACTCCCTTTAAAGGAAGGAGTTGAGGTCATTGTTGATGAAAAGGCAAGGGGGGGGGGCGACACCCAGGGGGCCCACCCAGAGTCTTCCCGCAGAACTTTTGTTTTTTCCATCAAATGAAAAACAACACACGCAGCAGTAGTAAAGTCACAATGACTACATGTCTTAATTATTGTTTTCTTCCTTTCTTGCTTCATTTTCCCACCGTTTCTTTCCTTTCATACTACCTATGTGTGCCTTCCATCCTCCCTCCCTTCCTTCCATCATCCATCGTTCTTTCCTTTGATACAGCCTTGTGTCCTCCTTCCCTGACTTACTTTTATACCATTTTCAGTGTGTCTTTCCACATCCTCTTCCTACTTTCTGTCCTTCCTGCCATCTGCCATTCCCCCTTTTCATAGCATCCTTGTTGCTTTCCCCCGTCCTTCCGTTTGTCCTTCATCCTTCCTTCTTCTCACTCCTCCTTTCTTCCATTATTCCTTCCTTCATTTACCCTTCCTTCTCCTGCCGTTCCTCCATTGTTTCATCCATCCTTGTTTCCTTACCTTCATTCTTCCATCCTACCTTTGTTCCCACCCTCCTCCCTTTCTTCCATCATTCCCACCGTTCATACCATCCTTGATTGGTATTCATCCAGTTTTCCTTCCAATGGTCCTCCTTTTGCACTTCATTCTTCCTTAATGATCACTCCCTCCCTTTTCTTCTTCCTTTCATGCATTTTCCCTTTTACATTATCCTTGTTTCTTTCCTCCATCCATTCTTTAACTTTAACTCTCTTTGTTCACCTTCCTTTCTTCCCTCTTCCTGGGTTCCTTCAAGCCTTTCTTTCCTCCTCTACGCTTTCATACTGAACTCTACATGAACTATGATTAAGGTGATGCACTGCAGTTGCTTTATGACCATGAGCGGTACCTGAATGGAGATTCAATTAACATCTGCTATCGGATTTAACTCAAGCCCAGTGTGCACATACGCATTCCACGACTTGAGACGACTTTGAATCTTATGGATAAGATGGATGGACGTTGTCTTAAATGTCCCTTTGCTCAGTGACTCTTTTATTTGCCGATGTCACAACTGCCAGTGAATAGGTCCATGGTTGCTTAAATAATTTAAAGTAGAAAGTGTACATTGTCCCCACTTTTGGTCCTCTCTGTGTACTGACGCAAACAAAGAAACGAGACACAAGTTCAAATCTTTTCACGACGTTCACTTTTACTGGCCCTTTAAATTCAAGTTTGGCTCAAGCGCCAAACCCCGCCTCTTCCTTCCCAACTTCCCTCATTTCACCCCGCCAGTGGTTCTAATCGAGATACGATTTAATCGATCGCCCTTCTCTTCTAAATTCCGTACACTGACGTATCGGCAATGGGCTGCTTTAGTCTGAGAATAGCTCTCGCTCCCGACTGGGTTGTTGTGTAGCTGTAATAAAAGATCAACAAGGCCCGGAAAGGGCTCTCTAAATGACACATTTGCCTTTTATGCACTATTTTGATATCATAGCTGAACGCGTATAGACCAAGAGCATCTCGAGGTCCGAATTGTGGGGCTTTTTCGCCGGTCCGAGGCCTTGTAGCAAAACAAACTGCACACACACACACACACACACACAGAAGTCTCACTCGGACAAGCGAGTGTGAGCTTTTTTTGCTCCAATTATGGGTGCTTTTGGAAATTCCATCTGACGCCCTAAGTCTGCTCTGAGAGTGCGAGTGTTGCCTTTCATTCAGCAACGCTTTTGAGTTTTCGAACGGTCCGAAGCGTAGAAGCACGCACTCTGGATTTTGCCCCGCCGGAAAATGGACACGGATAAGTTTAACTACGTTTACAGCTGCGACTTGGACATCAATGTTCAACTCAAGATGTAAGTCGTGTCCTTACAAGCGCACACAATTGTGACTTAGTGGAGGATAATTGGTGTCCTATGCCCTGAGAGGGCGTCAGTCATTTATCGGACTTGCCATATTTATGTTTCTTTTCTTGTTCTTTGAAAACACATTCACACGCGCATAACAAAAGGAAATGTTCATAAAACATTAGTGTAAAAAGGGTTCTCAATTTACGACGGACTTCCGTTGTTATGGCGGCGAAATATACGTAAGTCGGGCTATATCGTTATCCTACGCTAGCGTAGTTGTAAAGTCATAATTTCGGCACATTTAGAAAACTTGAAGACCACAAATTTTAAAAACAGAAAGTACTGCGGGTGCCTTCTTGTGCCACATGACAGTGTATTCCTACAACAGGCCATAGTCTGACACTAAGCTACCCTAACACAATAGTAAAGTTGTAACCGTGGTAAAAATGTTTATACAAATAATTTCTAGAGCATGAATACATTGTAACAACAATAATGGTAACTGCACGTGCCTTCTTGTGCTGTCTGATGTCCTATTCTTATTCCGGATGTAGTCTAGCATTAATTTATGCGAGTGTGGTAGTAAGGTTGTCAGGTAGAAATGTATGTGAAAAATTAAATTGGATAAAATATTGACTAGCACAGTGTCAATTGGCTGCAGTCGAATCCTAACCTAAACGGATGCACTGTTGTTGAGAAAACCGTAGAATGAGAAGTTGAAGATCAGTTTCCACTATTTAGGATTATTAACACCCATAAGAATGGTTCCTGGAGACTGCAGCAGCCCCTTTTTGTGTGTTTACACTGCCAACAGAGGCAGTTTGGAAGGCAAGCGAGAGCAAAAGAGCTACAAAGCCCTGCTGGCGGACCCTATGCTGCGCTTCTCCGGCCTCTACCAGGACCACTGTTCAGACCTCTACGTCACCTGCCAAGTGTTCGCTGAAGGCAAGCCTCTGGCCTTGCCGGTTCGCACCTCCTACAAGGCCTTCAGCACGCGCTGGAAGTGAGTCTCAAGACGTGTCTCTGGGCATCCGCTTGCATTTTCAAAAATGACCACTTACTCACGTACAGTTGGAACGAGTGGCTGCGACTGCCGGTCAAGTACCCAGACCTTCCCCAAAGCGCCCAGGTGGCCCTCACCGTGTGGGACATCTACGGGCCTGGTCGAGCTGTCCCCGTCGGGGGTACAACGGTCACCCTGTTTGGCAAATATGGGTGAGTTGTCGACACATTTTATCCTAAAGCTCGGGGTGCTGGAATGTTGCGCCATACAGAGAAAGAGAAGGAAATGTCCTCTTGTCTCGGCACAGGATGTTCAGACAAGGAATGCATGACCTGAAGGTTTGGCCCGGCGTGGAGGGCGACGGCGCAGAGGCCACCGCCACGCCTGGACGCACCAGCAACAGTCTCACTGAGGACCAGATGGGCAGACTCGCCAAGGTATTTATTTATTTATTTGTTTATTTTTCAGTCAGACAAAAGCGCAAGTCCCTGACTGGCCTTCAATCTAAAGCGCCGTATTGTTCTAGGGCCCCGACTTGGAGGTACTTTGTGATGTGAGTACGAGTGGGGCAGTTAGTCGTCTGTGTGTGTGTGTGTGTGCGAGGATGCAGTCAGGGTCATGAATGTGCACGGTGAATTGTGACTTGCCCTGCCCTGCAGGAGAATACAAATGTACACAACTGATAATTTAATCACAACAGTGACTTTGATGCTAATATTTGCTTTAGAGATTCCTCAAAACATCTGAACAGTCCTTTTCTTATATAAAATGGCAACAACAATAATGATGCATTTACAAATATTCATCAGTGTAGCAATTTTACATTTGACAAACTTTCCTAAGTGTGTGCATGCTATTTAATAGTCTTGGTAGTAGTAGTATTTAGTAGCGTGTGTGCATGTGCATAAAATACATCAGCACTTCTACATTTGAATGATCCCTGTCATTTTTTCTCTCTTTTGTGACATTCTTTGTAGTAGATTTAATGTGACAAACTGGACCACAAGCTAGTTGTAAAATTCACATTTCTGAGGGTCGGCCATGTTTTAAGAGCTTACACATTGCTTTGACACACAGCAAGCTCATCTAAAAGAGAGACAATGCTGCCATCTGCTGGCCGTAGTTACTTTTATTATTACTTTTTCTCTGAATGCTTTTCCATCTTAAGAATCAAACTAGAGCGGCCCAAGACTTTTCTCTCCCCATTCCCAGAAAAAATTAAATTGATGGCAATTGTCATCACTGGCGCTCCTCGTTAGGGTGCTGTCAATGGCGCTCAAGAGTTAATAATGCAAAATCGATCGTCGATGGTAGTAATCAATTCCAAAAAATATTAAAT